GTTGCAGATTTAAAAAAAAACCAAAAAAAATCCCCCCAAAAAAAAGAAAAATCTTTTAAATATTTTTTTTTTTTTTTTTTTTTTTTTTTACAAATCTGTGTTTGCAGTATGCTCCATATTCTTACAGCAGTTTCCAATCTTTAGTCCTCACAGAACTGAAAACACAGAAGCCAGCCTCCCGGAGAGCCAGGAGTTCTTATCAGGCGCCGAGGATAAGAAAACAACGCGCTTCACGGATGTGAGTTAACACACATCTCAGCCTCGGCACGATCACACTCCTCACTCAGGGATGTCTGCCGAAATGCAACCAGCCCCTGTTCTACTTTGGTTGCAGTTTGAAGGGAAAACCTCCTTTGGGATGTCCGTCTTCAACCTGGGCAATGCAATCATGGGAAGTGGAATTTTAGGACTTGCATACGCCATGGCCAACACAGGGGTCGTCCTGTTTCTGTAAGTCATGCGTTAACGATGACGAAGATGATGTATTAAAACCCTAATTGGATTGGAATTACTTTCTGCGGCTACACTTGCTGACTTACAGCTCCCAGAACTCTGATTTATTTTCAACCCTTTGAGGGTTTTGCAGTGTGAGTTTGTGCGAGACATAAATAGCTTCTAAATGCAATGTAATCACCTTGTATTAACCCTCTAGCAGACCTTATTAATGACAAAGAAACTGGTGATACTGGGTACATTTGATGCTTAAGCACAATTATAGCCCAACAATAATTTATTCATCTCATAAAGCCAGTGATTGCAGTCAAAGGTGTAGAAAGTAATGAGTTTTAATACGTTCCCCTTTGATTGATTCTCTGCTTTGAGTCAGTCTGTGTGCATAATGAATTAGCAGCATAACATTTAAAAGTCTGCAGCGTAGCAGGCTGGTGCATCAGATTCATGACTTCGGGGCTTTTGGTCTTTAAGGAACATGCCTCACCAGCAGCAGCTAAACTTTTTTTTTTCTTGTAGCATTTCAGTTTTATTCTTTTGACATGAAGAGAGAAATGTCACAAGCATTCTAAGTTTGCTTGTTTTCTTTTAGACTGTTGGCTTTTAGTGTGCTTTTTTCCTGCTTTTGATGCCTATTAACTGGGGCCACAACAAATAGACAAATGGTATTTACATGTTAATATCATGCCTGGTCAGTGTAGATGTTCAGGAAGGTTACTCTCTTGTTGCTGTCATGGATTTTTTTTTTTTTCTGGTTACTTCATGTTTCTACCACAGCCCCCTCCCAAAAAAACGTTCATGTTGGTGTCAGTAAAAAAAGAATGGCTGGATGTTTATGGACGTCCTCGTGATTTTTAGGCGCGACTCTCCCTCAGCAGGAATGCACCATCTTTTTTATGGTTTAATCAGGCATTTCAAAAAATAGTTTTATTCAATATTTTTGCTTATAATAGTGAAGCTAAACACAAAGTTCCAGCAACGTTTTGAATGTTTTCTGGCTCAAGATTGGCAGTAGTATGTTTTTTTTTTTTTTTTTTTTTCTTTTAAAAAACTGAATGTAGCTGAGGAGAGTTAGCTCTTTTTGTTATTCCAGATTCACATCTCCTCTGGAGAAAATGACAGGCGTGTTTAATATTCAGAAAAACGCCATCCGTAAGGATGTGATTTGCCCTCTTCTTCAAGGCAGTCTTGTGAAGAGGATTTCCCCTCATGGCAGAAAAAGCTCCTTATTTGGATCTGTGTAGTGTGACTGAGGGTTTTCTGGATGTTAGCTGACTGAACTGACTGAACTCTCTGTCACCGAACGGCAGTAGTTCTGACACCAGGCTAGACAGAAGCTGAAAATAATCCCCCAGTCATCTGGGCTACATTATATATTAATATGGTCACGTGTTAATTAGCAGTACGTGACTCCGTGCAGCAGATAGCGTGCACTTGTCTATCCTGTTTCAGATGAAAGGCTGTGTATTTGTGTTTATGTCAGATCTTGTTTTGAACAATAGAGTAGCCGCTGAGAGGAACAAGCAGCAAGTGTGACATATTTGGCTGAGAAAAACTGGCAGATTTTCTGTGTTTCTCGTTGGACAGCAGGCATGAGGTTGCCTCTTTAATTTCCCCCCGGTATCCTTCTGAACCCCCGGGCTGCCCTCCTAAAACAGTCAGAGGACCAAAATAAAATATTAGCTTAAAAAAAACAAGCAAAATCAAAACGTCAACAGTAACAATGGCCGTAGCGTACATTTTGTCATATAGTTGTTTCTTTTTCAAGCCACTGAACAGATTGCCTTGAACAATGCATTGTCTATGTTGTGATATTTGAAGGATTGTTGCAACTTTTAGTGAGCAGCACAAAAAAAACAAAACAAAAAAACAGTTTATATGATATTGCTATTGACTGACACTTAAAGATGGGACTCAATTGTGTAGCAACTGCCTCACTGCCAGTTGCTACACATTACAGATTTACGTAAATATTTTCTATCAAGAAAATATACCAAAGATATAGATTAACTTTAGTATTTATTCAGAGTGGGCAAAATGTTAAGAAATGTTTTACACCAACTGCCACATATCCTGTTTTTTATTTCGGTCAACCCTATAGCATTTCACAAAAATGAAGACAGAGGGGTTTTGACCATTTCTTACAGGATTTACATTTAAACAGCTGTGATGTGACATGTTTTGAATCATAATGACCTTTGTCAAAATGGGCCCACATCACATATTCACCCAATATTTCTATTTTCATTGTTAGTCCCAGGATTTTATGTAAAATATCAAGCGTTTTAGCAAATTCCTGGTGCCGTGAACTTGAGTGCTTTTCTGTCAAAAAGCTCTGTCAGAATTTCATTTGGTGCTTTGGTTTCTGTTTTTATGAGAAATAAAGATTCCCTCTGTTGCACCTATCTTTGATATGACATCAAATCATGTTATTCTAGACCTGAAAACTGAACCACCGTTAGCGTCCGAACGATTTCTGTGAAGGTTTCTGCGGCAGAGTGGGCTCTGAAGGGCCACTTCCTCCAGGGGTCGAGCCCCCTGTTGTTTTAGCACAACAGGTTTCCATTATGACTAAATCCATTAACAACGGCTCTGATATGTAGTTTGCAAATCTACACTGGGTTGTTTATTTTTTGCATTAGAAGAAAAAATACAAATGCATTTCAAAAAGTTTGATCACCAAAAGCAGTTTTTTTTTTTTTTTTTGAGTTTCTTGCATCAATTTTTAATAACTTTTTGAAAAACTTAAGAAATGGTAGCATCAATATAAAATAGGATTGGGATAGTGTCCCAAATTTATCTTGAAGTTGTACTTTCTCTTTTGTGTGGTTTAAATGGCAAATATTAATAAGATTTTATGCAATTATTAACTTAAAAGCATTAAAAATATCCCTCACACTCCCCCCACCCCCACAAGTGATTATTAATAATTTATTTTAAGAACAGGGAAGCAGTCACGGTATTAATATGTCCTTCTGTCATGACCTTTGTAACTCCTGGTAAACTGAACAAAGCGATAGGATTTTGAGGTTTCCAATCAAGCTGAAATTTGTCAGATGTCTCCAGACATCACTCACTTTAGTCATTTTTCCCTTAATTGAACAAACACTTGCAGTATTCAAGTATTTGTAGCACCTTTTTGTCAGCTGATAATTAATTATATTTAATACATGAGTGCCCTTTCTTTGAGATTTCTTATGTGGGTGTGTGGTTTGGGTCAGTGGTCCTGGTTCCGAGTAGGAATGCTGTGGGGTGGCATTTCAGCGGGTCGGGCAACAGAGACCCAAGTGTGTCGGTCTGTCTGAGTGTCAGCAGATCCGTCTTCCCACTTCTACTTGACTGACTGACTTCAAACCCCCAAGTCAGCTAAGCTTTCTCCCACACGGTTTGTAGAAAAAGAAAATTGTTTGGCGGCCAAGAGTTGAAGTCGCGGTGAAAGACAGAACCGCCTGGCCTTTCGAAAGGGGTTGAGAGAGTGTTTGTGTGGGAGTGAAAGTTAATGTTGCCAGTAGTACAAAAACAAAAAAAAACAAAACAACAAAAGACAAAACAGTAAATGGTTGGAATGAGGTGAACTGGGTCAAAGAATGCCAGTGGATCAGGGAACCATTCATGAAACGCCCTCGGGCCACGGGTTTATCCCAGGAGTTAATTTCAAGTTCTCTCCTAGAGATTTTGCTCTAAATCACAAAACGAATCAATTCCGGTCACGCATTCAAATGGTGCCTTATTAAATATAGACGTGATCAATCTTTTTTCATACTACATGTGTATTTTTACAAAATGTCTCAAAGTAACTTTTTCCTTTTTAAGCTGGTGCAGTCTGAGATTATTTTATATTTGCATCAGAATGCAGGGAATGAATGTAGTGTTGAAACGATTAATTTGATCAATCGTCATATTATTGAAGTGACCGTCAACTAATTTAGTCGTCAATTAAAGTGATCAACAGATCTCTACGCTGCATTGACGTAAGGTCAAGCAGAACTATGTTGATGTTATATCAGTTTCTTTTCAGCTGCAGATGATCAGGCGTCACTAAGGGAACGCTATGATGTCATGTTTTGTGGAATAAAGTGTTTATTCCCTCATTTAAAATAAAATATATTTGTATCTTTTAATGTATTTCTAATACTGTATATAAAAAAGGCCTCAGTGGTTAATGAAGAATCTGCTGACCCAGAGTTTTCTTCCGATTAAAGTAACTGATAGAATAATCAATTATTGACAAAAAAAATGTGTTGCAGCCCCGAATAAATGCAAACCCGCTGATTATGAACAAAGTAAAGAGAGGATTGCGTTCTCTGCCTCAAGTAAAAACAGCTGAAAAGGGAAGTAACGACTTATTGGGTGTATTTTTCCACGTCGGCTGAGTAACGGAGAGAAAGATGTTCCTCTCTTTTGTGTGTTTCTTCTGTCCTTTAAGAGCCCAGCTGGTGTGTTTGTGTGTTGGAGACAGAGAGCAGGGAGGCTTACGGGGTGACCTCTGTGAATCAGCTGGACCAACAGTCCAGGAGAGCCGCAGGGTTTTCTCATCCCATACAACCTATATGAAACATTATGCCTGAACTGCAGCTGTTTAAATAACCTGCAGTGAATCATATAGTGTAAATATTCAACAGGAAGGCTTTTCATTTTTTATTTTTATTTTTTTATCTAGTCCTATGTCTTAAGAGCGAGTGAGTATTCATTTTGAAGTTTCTTTGAGTTGGCGCTAATCGCGATCTGCTGTCTGACGGTTTCAGGTTGCTCCTCACAGTGGTCGCAGTTCTTTCGTCATATTCAATCCACTTACTGCTGAAGTCGTCTGGTATTGTAGGTACGTGAGCGTCTAAAGTAATCTGATGTAAATGAATCACAAACATAGTTATATTTAACATTTTCTTTTAGCTGTGGTTGTAACACAGTCTCTCTCGTCTTCTGTTTGTGGTTCAGGTATTCGTGCGTATGAGCAGCTCGGCTACAGGGCCTTCGGGACTCCGGGGAAGATGGCTGCAGGTATCGCCATCACGCTCCAGAACATTGGAGGTGAGGTCCATCGCTGGGATTTTGTAGAAGAACAGCTCTCTTTAAAAAAAAAATAAATAAAAATTATGCAGACTTTCTTGTAATAATTTAAAATGGCTTTAGACAATATTTAACTAGGATTTCTCAGATTTATTTTGTTAAGCTCTCGCTTAACCATGAGCTGTGAATCATCCAGGCTTAAACGGCTCTTAAGCTCCGAAGATAAACTTTTGTTATCTCTGTAGGGGATTTACTGGCAGCCTGTCAAAAGTTGCCCTTATTTCTGTGGCTGATTGCACAAGAAATAGGCAACGCATTTTGACTGAAATGCCACAAGATTTTAGCGACAGCAAGTTAGATCCTAGCTGAAAACCAGGCATGCTATAGAAAACTAGAAGGGCCACAGAAAAACTCAAAAAGATGCTTAGTAAATATAAAAAACTTTGCTTTAGACATTTCAAAGCTTTTGTTTTTCTTTTTCTACTGAAGCCAACATGTTGTTGCTTGGTCTCACTGTGATACCGGAAACATAAAATCTGACTTAATCTTCAGATTTCCAGCAGACACCTAAAGGTTTAGGCTCAAAGCTGAATTTCCTCCCCCTTGACCCGAAGTCTGGCTCCATCTGAAGAGGCCCCAGAGCATGACGCTGCACTGTGGTGGTGGTGGTGTTCTCTGGGTTAATGTGTAGTGTCATTTTTGTGCATAACTTTAAGAGTTTTTTTTTAATCTATTTAGTCTGGATAAATGAAAAAATAAAGTACAATTGTTTTTGTACGTGGAATACCTGCCAGAAGGCCCCTTCAGGTTTCTTTCTTATCTTGATAGATCTTAAGGAAACCTCCACTTTTAGTAATATTGATTGTTCCATATTATGTCCAATTACTTATGGCATTCTTCTCCTGACTCATATGTTTGGACAATGACATCATTTTGTGATCCTTTGTAACCTCTCTGCAAACTATGGCTTTAGCTGAAAGATACAAATGAGTAAATATCCAGAAAATCCTACCAGCACAGCTGAACTTTAGTTCTATGAAAGATGCTGGACTTGAATCAACAAGCAGTTCAAACTAGTATTAGTCCATGCACACGTATTCAATTTGTTTGTCAGTTGAATATTACAGGATATGTAACACTTTTAAAGTGGGAATATATGCAGTTATTCATCGCGTTTTCTGTCTCAAAACATGTAGTCTGCAGTCTCCTGTTTGTTTCAGAAGGTGAAAAGGCCATCATTTGTTGTACTGTAACTTTATCTCTTTCTGATCCACAGCAATGTCCAGTTACCTTTACATAGTCAAGTATGAGTTCCCTTTGGTAATCCAGGCATTTCTGAAGGTGGACGTGCCTGCAGGGTGAGTGCCTGGCACGTGATTTATTTAATCTAAATACATAAAATGCATACTGTGAACAATTCTGTTGATGGAATGTAGATGCCATTCTTCTTTATAAAATAGCTCAAGCTCATCCAGCCCGTCATATGAAATGAAACCCATCAACATTTGTGGTTATAATGTGACAAAATGTAAAAGTCCAAAGTGTGTGAATGCGTCTGCAGGGCACTGTATTTCTTAATTATCTTTTCTCACACTCTACATGCAAATAAAAGACGTTAAGGCAAGAAAAGCCCATCTCTGAATCACACTTAATGATGAAAGAGCAATCTGCGAAAAGGAAGTGAGTCATCCCATCGGCTCCCTGTGGGACCGGACAGAGATTTAATTGTAGACCGAAGAATCCTTCCGAGCCGTGCCAGTTGTTGGGCCCGGTGCCACGCTTGGAGCAGCTGGTGTGAGAACAGCTGTGATTGTGACCCCAGAGAGGTGGGGGGTAAGGGTGAGGGGAGGGGGGGGTCGAGCGCCAGGTCCAGTGAGAGCGATTGCATCAAAACGCAGCAAGACTCTGCAGCTGAAAATGTAAACTGTGGGATATCACTGCTTACTGCAGGTGGCCTAGGAGACAAACAAAACCCGCTCTCATGCGTGCAGTTCATTGTGACTTTGCTCCAGTTATGGAGTATCTGCACCCTCTTTTCGTTTCTGAGAATGCTTACACAACCCTGTGCTAAGTGGGTCAAGAGTTTCTTGGAAGTTTTTGGGTAAACATTTTTTGGGTCCTTTGTATTCAGCCGATCTGCGCCAGACTCGGTGAGGGACGTTGCACCTGCTGCTGCAGTATTTTTCATGGCAATGTTTGGACAGATCAGTAACACTGTAGTGGAAGTGACAAAGTGCACGCACTGCGCTCAACCTGTTATCACCGTGTAGCTGTGGGCCACGGTCAACAATCGTTGTTTACCAGCGATAACAAACTAGGTCGCCTTGGTGGCGCCTCGTCCTGTCAGAGTGTGTGGGTTTGTTTCATTTAATCGCATAGGAGTGGGCTAAAACCCCCCAGAAACATCTAAAAATCAGCGTTATTCTGATGCAAAAAACACACACATAGCTGGAACACTGTTGAATAAAGTATTTGTATATAGAGAAAAATAGCTTTAAAAAAAATAAAAGCTCATTTTTACATGAGATAGCATCATTATTACTTTAAAAAGTGAGAGTGTTGCAACAGATGCTGCATGTTGTGGTGGTTCTCACCTGACAGAGGGCAAGAAATTAATCCCCCCTGCTGTGTGGCTCTAAAAATAAACCTCTGAGCTTTCTTTCCTAGACAGAGAGCCTTGTGACTATAACATGCCGACGACTGCCTCATGGGATTCTGTCATGAGTTACACACTAATCTCTTCCAGTGTTGTCATATCAAATAAATAGAAGGGTAAGATATTATTTTACAACCCTAGGAACAGAAAATTAATTTTAATATAAAACAAGTTAAGAATATTTTCATCATTTCATGTCCAAGTGTTTGTGACATTAGAAAATAATTCACAATTAAAAAAAATAAAATAAAAGGAACCCAGACAAGTTAATAACAGTTATGGCAGTCATTTATTACAGTTTGAAAAAATATTTCAAAGCAATAAAAATGTCATGCTATTTTTCTCCAGAATCTTGAAAAATTTATCCTTTTCATGCTTTTCAGAGTCGCAAGAACATTGGGCAAAAAAAAAAAAAGAAAAAAAAAAGTAAAAATTTAATAAAATCATGCAATTATCCGAGTCAGGATTCATGGCTAGCAAAAAAATAAATAAATAAAATTCGCTTTTGACACAGAGTTATGATTATTGTTAGATAAATAACTTACTTATATTTTATTTATTAGAAATATCTTTTTCAGGACCAAGAACAACCTCTCTCAATAGTCCTCATGGGAAACAAATTATCAATTTAAATCTTGAATATCTATTTCTTTTTCTGAAGAATTTACAGCCTGTGATGTGAAATATGAGCCAAAAAATGTGAAAGTTTGTATTATTTTCCCCGATCAGTGTGTGATCTTATGCTAATACGGGTGAGGCATTCATGCTGGATATAAAAATAGTGTTTAAAAAGCCCAAAATGTAGAGATTGGTAATGATTTAATGGCCTGAATATTTTTTCTGAATAACTTAAACTCACATTCTCACTCCATCTCTGCGGGCAGCAAGTGAGCTTTTGTTTTTGTCTACTTTGAACATATCTAAATCCAACCCAGTTTGGTTTGTATTCATTTATGCTCAGCTTTGAATTTAACAACCCGACGCGTTAAATAACTCCTAAAACTCCAAACATCTTATTTCTCCTGCACCTGTGGTTAGCTGCTGACTTGCTTTCATTTAGTACAAATCCTTAAAATAAGTGAGACTGAGAGGAGTCTTTATAGTAATTTCAAATCAATACCATAATTGCTGTGTCTGTCTGCTTCTCCGCAGTGAATGGTACCTGAACGGAAACTATCTGGTCATCATCGTCTCTGTGGCAGTGATATTACCGCTGGCTCTGATGAAACAGCTGGGTGAGTGTGTCATTTTGTAGCTTTTATAGGAGGAAACCAATTTTATCTGTTCTCCTGTGAGAGCTTATAGTGCACCCATAGCATTTTATTAAAGAAAAAAAAGGCAAAAATTCAGGTTGGAAATTAAGCAAACAGGCACATAATTATAGTCTTTTGTCGTAAGTTTGTGTCCTGATGATGGACAAGATTAAATAAAAAACATGTATGATTTCCCAGCCATTTCATTCTAATATTCTCACCTTCCTGCCATAATGACCCAAGTCACTGCTTGCCAAAAGTCTCAATATAATAGATCAAGGTTTGTGGTTATAATGTGAAAAAAATATATATAAATATATATATTCAACACATTATGTACTCTGTGATGATATTAAATGCTAACAAAGTGTTTATTTGTCAGGATACCTGGGATACACCAGTGGATTTTCACTGAGCTGCATGGTGTTCTTCCTCGTTTCTGTGAGTCCTCTGGTCATGAACTGTACATACACGTATGTCACATGTTGCCTCCCGTTCCTGGTCTGTGTCATGCTGACCAGATGCACTGGGATCTTCCCACCAGCTCTTCAGTATTTCCTACTCGCTGCTATGGACTAATGTTCGCATGCTGCAGTCCCTGGCTGTGTTTCCTTCTCTGACCTAGTTTTGGCTCTGTGAGCTGTAATCCACTCGCCGCCTTCCCTCTCTCTCTTTTTTGTTGGCTTTCTCTCATTGACATATTTCCAGCCTGTCCCAATATTAACTGTCTCACTGCTTTTTGTTTTGCTGCAACACCAATTGTCTCTGCATTCATGCGCAGGTCATCTACAAGAAGTTCAACCTCCCTTGTCCGTTTGTGGACTTCGCTCATAACAGCACTGTGAGCGTGCTGAATGTCACCGTCAACGACCCCGGTGGGGAGGACAACCCGGCCTGCATTCCCAAGATGGCCAACCTCAATACACAAGTACGTGTCTGCATGTCACCTTCTACGAAGCTGCAAGTTCACCTGCACTGCTATGGGCACTGAAAGTCACCCACTTATGTCATAGTCATCAGCATGTCGCCAGTCCCTTCTCACAGTCACAGCATGGGAATCCTGGTTTGAAACAGATCAGAACCTGCTGCAAACCTGTGTGACTTTACGACCAACGCAGGGCCCAAAGACAGAATGAACCCCTGAACTGCCTCTGGGTCAGTTTGCCTCCATGCCAGTTGGTACCCCTATTTTCTTCCTATGGATTGTCATTTTGTTCCTTCTTATTTGCATTTTGTCCCTGTGAATTAATCCTTTATCTTATTGAAACAATGCATTTCAAGTTTTATTCATAAAGGAAAGAATGATTCAAACCTTTTTAGCTCTTTGTGAAAAACTTAATGTCCCTTAGACCTATAATTGGTTGTCGCAGCCATCAGACTTTTGCGACACCTGAAATTTAATGGTTTTGCAAACCTTTTCCAAATTCATAGTTGTCAATTACTTTCTCATCTGCTTTTTTCATTTCTTTTGAATTGGGACATGATGGGTTGCCATTTGAGATCTTTTAGCCTGCTACTTAGGGCCAGGTTTTTTTTAAATCACTTTTTGTATTTACTCAAGTTATCTTTGGCCATCATTAATATTTATTATTTGACCACTGGAAACATTTATGTGACATAAAATATGGAAGGAAGCACTTTGAATAATCTTGAAAAAATGCCCACATTTTGCATGTAATTTTTATATTCTGAAAATTTTCTATTGCATCTTTTTTTTTTTTTTTTTTAACCACTGATAATAGATCTGATCCTTGTGTCAGTTGACCCCTGCCGGTGGATATTATTAAAAAAAAACTTACATAACATTTCCTGACATTAAACTAATAGAAAATTGTGGAATATGAATATTGCTTTTAATTGTCCATTACTTAGTTAGAGAAAGTACTTAACCTCTCCCCGGTTGGTATGAAGTGTGCTATGGGAGACAGAAAAGACCAAAACTACACGGGTACAAAATGGCAAGGGGGCAAAAAGACCAGAAATCATTTGGAGTCTGAAGTAGCGCAGCAGTTACTAAAGCATTTTATTTACACAGAGAAGCCATCAAATTTGGACATATCAGGACCAACAATTGAGATGGAAAAACATTGGACGCTTTTCTCAAATCCTTTTGGTTTTTAAAATCCTTTCTTGTCACATAATCTTGGATGACCCTTCGTTATTGTATGATCAATCTGAACGTAATTGCATAATTTCACTGAGTAGTTTTACTTTTCAGGGAGGCAGCTAATATTCTCTCGTTGTTTCAGATTTTTCCTAAAACCCTATAAACATTTTGTCAGCGTCCCCGTACTTTTTCTCACTCGACTACGACCGATTCCAGCTGGTTAGCGACTTACGAGGCACCAAGGCATTTTTAAATAGGCTAAAGCTGGTCTGCTGCCAGGCCCAAGTTAATCACAAGAAACAATTAGCTCTCTGTGATGTGTCAGAGGCAGCAATGGGCAGTGCAGTGAGAAGTTGGTGGTAAAACGGCGGGGATAGCGCTGCTGTATCTATGGTGACCTGTTGGGGTTCATTTACAGACGGCCTACACCATTCCAATCCTGGCGTTCGCCTTTGTGTGCCACCCTGAGGTCCTCCCTATCTACACAGAGCTGCGCAAGTATGTTCTTATGAAGGAAACCTCCTGCTAACTTTGTTTTGGACGAGACATTAATAAGCAGAGGAAAGCTGCTGTGTGTGTGCTTTGTGCTTGGCTTGCCATATTCTAGTCACATGCACTGCTTTCACTGTATTTTGAAATGTCTCTGCACTGCTTTGTGTCGTGTAGCATGTCGTTAGCTGAAATGTAGAATCCCTTGTTGACAAAAAGCTGCTAATGTTTTCTAGGGTTAAAGGTGAAGTCAGCGTTTGTATTTGGTTTAACAGGCATTGCTTGGAAACATGATTAAACTGAATATTGGTGTAACCACATGATGATTTTATTTTATTTTTTTCTGATTTCAGTCCCACTAAGAAAAAGATGCAGCACGTGTCCAATATTTCCATTGCAGTCATGTACGTCATGTACTTCCTGGCAGCTCTGTTTGGATACCTAACTTTCTACAGTAAGCCCTCGTATTCTCTCATTTTTGACAATTTGCGTTTCTGTGTTAGAGAACATGTTTCCCTGCTGGTTGGTTGTGTAAAAAAGCGTTCTGTTCTTTCATAAAGTTCAAAAACCACAAGCGTTTTCAAATTCAGTTTTCACTTAATAAATGCACCAAAATTACTAAATGTGAATCTATTGAAATAAAATGGTAGTAAATTGAGAGCTATAACTATTATGATACATTCATGCCCTCTAGTGGCCTCAAGTAAAAATCCGCAAGTCCCTCCATGATTGTTGACACCACTGTGAAAGATGAGGGGGGAAAGTCTTCAAATTATTATTATACTATATGAAATAGAGAAATAAACATTCATGTTAAAAACAAAATCAATACCTAGAAAAGGGAATTTGACCAGGCATTTTTAAAGAAATTTCTTGTGACCCACAGATTGTAAAACCTTTTTACCCCATTATTGATCATTGATAATTGAAGGAAATTAATGGAGATGGACACCTGCTGTACATGTATAGAGCCATATTTTTAATGATTTTAGGGGTTTAACAGAAATATAGTATTAACCTTTATTTATGTTTGGGTAACTAATCAGAAACTTTCAATCATCGAAAATGTAAAATCAGACTTTGTTAAAAAAAAAATTATGGTGAGACATTTTTTGGAGACAGTTCAATCATCTTTCCTCATGTATCTTAAAATCAAAGCAGTTTTTGAAGGAAAATATATCAGACTTCATGTTGTTCCCAGGAAGAGACTGTCATTTACTTTCATGACCCAATTAATTAAAGGAATCAAAGTATTGACTTTTAATACATTTGGGAGACGTTTAAGATCTTCAGGGGTTTAGAGCTGTGTTTTTTTCCTCTGAAATTAGAATACCTTTGCTCTTCCACCACTCCAGAGAATATCGCTATAAATCATCCCGAGCCCTGACTCCCTTTTCTTCAGGACATCCCAGTTTTTTTTAGAGGGCTTAAATCTATGTACTGATATAGCATTGGAGGACGGCTGATTTCTGGTTTGCTAAATAATTTCTGTTGAGTTGGCCTCATGTTTTAGTTATGCTGCTAAAAGTCCTGTAAATAGCTGGAATTCATAAAGATGTAGTCTAATTTTACAAAGGAGTACCCCCTAATTTCTCTAATTTTGACATTTTACTTTGAATCTCTGTTTTCCTGTTTTGGCCACTTGCAGACGAAGTGGAGGCAGAGCTGCTTCACACATACAGCCGCATCGACCCTTATGACACTTTAATCCTTTGTGTGCGTGTGGCTGTTCTCACTGCTGTCACACTCACAGTACCGATCGTGCTCTTTCCTGTAAGTACAATTATTTTAGCACTCAATGTTTGCACACAGGCCCATCAGCTGATTGCCTTTTTAATTAAAATATCATCTTTTGCCTTGACGATATTTCATTATTGTCAAAGTTATTAAATTAATAAGCAATTAAATCCTTTTTGTGTTATGATCAGGTAAGGAGAGCGATCCAGCAGATGATTTTCCCCAATAAAACCTTCTACTGGCCTCGTCACATTGCAATTGCCATCACTTTGCTCACCTTCATCAACCTGCTGGTCATCTTTGCCCCAAACATCTTGGGCATCTTTGGGGTTATTGGTAGGTTAAATTACATTGATCTTGAGAAAAAGATGTGAATTCATCAGATTAGAATTGAAAACCTTAAGTTGAAATGACGTTTTGTTAGTTCAGCAGAAATGGGTGGAAATTAAACATAACATACAGAGAAACACAAAGACTGGGCTAAAATAAAGAATTCATATTCTTCTCAACTCTGAGGTTATATGTATCTTATCAAATTTAACTAAGAAACATAAAACTCTTTGAGATAACAAAATAAAAAACATAAAGATCTGCATAGCCTGTTTGCATAATTGTGCAGGTTTTGAGAGATATTTGCAACGCCTGTGTGATGTCTTCTGATAAAAGATTTCTGCTTCTCTATTCCTTAGTCCAGACATATATAGTGCATATGTTATTCATAAAGTACTTGGCATTGCATAGAAACGTTTTATTTTAGAGGTCAGCAACCTTAGAAATTCTAACAGTCATTTTTGGTTTTGGTCCTACTAGATGAAATTTATCTCAAGACACAAAATATACATGAATAAAACAAAAATATCTACCATATAGAATTTACTTGTTTTTATGGTTTAATTAAACTAATTTATTTTTATCTTTTAGAATGGAGAAATCCTTAAGTCTATCAAACTAGATAGTTACTTTTTTTTTTTTTTTTACGAATTAAGTGTTTCTTATTTATGGAGAATTTTGGAATAAAATAATAAAATGGAAGTGTATAATGCAAAATTATTCCTTGTATCTGGAGTGTCACTGTTGTGCAAAATCTAGGCGGAAATGGCATTAAAAGAACACAAAAGAACTACACCAAGCATTTTATTGCCTTTTTTGTATTGCAATGTTTTATTGCTTTAAAAACATTAAAGTTACATCACATTTTTGATCAGAGGACAGACAACAGCCATAAATCGCCTCAAGAGGTACATAGAGCCATGATTTTTCTGAAAACAGATTTTTATTCCTGCTTTTCAGAAATATATTTTTACCTGGTAAACATTTTTATTGTGAGCATTCCCCTTCTTTGTCCCCAGAGTGGTGCATCTTCTGCCGGGTTTAATCTTTCACACTGAACTGATTTATGTATAATTCAACGTATTTTATGTACTTTCAGGTGCCACGTCCGCCCCCTGTCTCATCTTCATTTTCCCTGCTGTCTTCTACATCCGAATTGTACCCAAAGAAGAGGAGCCTCTGCGCTCGGTTCCAAAAATCCTGGTGAGAATCTCTTGGAAATATCAAATCCTTCATTTACACCAGTTCAACTATGGGAGAACCTCTACATTCTATGCAAAAATATATTTAAAAAAGCCTTAAAATAAAAGTTCGTTGCATTGGCATAGTCTTTTTGCTGAAAAAAAGAAAAAAAAAATCCTAACTTTAATTTGAGCACAGCCATTCGAAAGCCCTACAGAAGACGCGTGTAGTCATCTATCAGAGCTACTGCATCTGAGAGTGAGATTGCAAAGCTGTGCAGCAACACCAGTGATGCAACATGCAGACATACACTATTTATATATGTAAATACTATCAAATATTTTTGCATTTTTAATAGAAGAAAAATGAAAAGATTTTTGCACACCGCTGTTCTAGGACCAAACTAAGTCTGATTTAACAAACAAACAAACAAACAAACAAACAAACAAACAAACAAACAAACAAACCCAGTAAGATCAACAATCATGTCCTGTAAAAGTTAAAGTTCTTGATATCATGCAGCCACTATCTCCTCCCATGGGTGCGTCTCTTCCTTGAACTCTGTGTTTCTCTTTCAGGCCGCCTGTTTCGCTGGGATCGGTTTCCTATTTATGATAATGAGCCTCAGCTTTATCATCATTGACTGGACATCGGGCAGCAGTAAAGCCAGCAGTGGTCATTAGAAACCCTACTGTATTTTTTTTTTTTTTTTTTTTTTTTGCTTTTTTTTTGTTTGTTTGGATTTTTGTGTTGCAATGTTACTATTTTGATGTCCAATCACTGATGTTTGAAGATGCCCTTCCTTTTTTTTTTCTAAGAGAATATCTGCCACAGAGATGAGAGTTTGGTTGGGGGTGCGGAGCGTCTCTCTCCTCTCGAAGCTCTTTGGTTCTGGTGGAGATAAATTGTACTGTATATCCTACCAAACAGTAACAGTGGATCCAGGCCAGTGGAAGTGCTTGGGAAGTTTTACCAGTTAATTTACTGAAGTGCCAGACGTGTGATGATTGGCGGCTGGAGTTTTGTGAGGAGAAAGTGGGAAAGCAAAGATAAAGTGAGCTCCTGTCCCCGAAAGGATCTTTAATATGAAAACTACAAATTGACATAGATATTTTTGATCCGTCTCCTGTTTACCAGCTAATGTAAAATGATTTATATATATTTTGTAGAGTTTCTGTACTTAGAATTAATTATATAATTATATTTTTTCACAGCAGTTGCACTTTAAAAGTGCAAAAGACAATTATCGCTACATTTTGGGCACTGCTTTTGCTTATTACATGAGAGAACTACAAGCACACTCGTTACCGAGGACAAATACGTGGCCAAGTGATTCAGCTGACAAAGCTCAAAAAATGCGGCCTTTTCTTCAAGGTGAACATTAAACTAACTCTTGCTGCTGCTCTTTATTTTATACCTTGAAGTTATCAGCCTTCTCTCATTTCCTCCTGTTGACCAGGGTGTTAAACGAAAATGTAAAGCACAGTTACATATGTCCTATCAGACATAGTCTAAAAAGTGTATTGTATTGTTTTACTAGATAAAAAAAAAAAGAAGATAATAATAAAACTGATTAGCTAGTTCTGGATAACCCAGAAGGCACGTTTTGAATTCTGCCAACATAGCACAATACATGCCTAAACTGTGCAGGTATTCCTTGTTTTCACTAAGAGGACAGGTAGAAATGGTACTGAGGGCCTCGTCTGTCGGATTGCTTAGCCCCAAAAAGACAACCGCAGTGCAGAGAAGACTGCTGATGATCAGGCCGTATTATCAGATAAACGTGGGGGTTGGGCTCTTGGACGATTTGATGAACTGTTTTTAATTATTTGCTAGTCGTAAGAGGAGATAACCAAACCGTACAGCGCCTTGCGATATTATTCATGCCCCTCGGGCTTCTAAACATTTTGTCAAGTTGCAATGTGAAATAACAGCACATTTTTTTCAAATGATTTTATGGGATAGACCAACACGCAGGGCACATAGGTTTGAAGTGGATGGATGAGGATGAATGGTTTTCGAAATGTTGACAACTAAAAATCTTTTGCATGCATTCTTATTCATGAATTTGGAGTCGATACCTTATCAAATGAATTACAGCTGCAATATGTTTTGGGGTTTGTCACAGCTAGATTTAAACATGCACATGCTGAGATTTGTTGTGGCTGTTCTTCTCTTTAAACGTCTCCACAACTTTCCCCTTGGCCTGCCTGCTATGTTCTTTTGTTGCACAAGAATTACTCTGAGGGTATCAGAGTAGCAGGAATACAAAAGAACATCAACCTTTTGGGTTTAAATTTGTATTTCTTTCTACTTCACAATTATTTCTCCATTTCGTGTTGGTTTATCACATAAAATCGTCCTGAAATTCACTGATATTTGATATCGTTACCTCAAAAAATAAAATAAAAAAACCTAAGGGGTGTGGATATGTTTTTGCAGAGTACTGCACAAAAGAAACCCCACCAACAACAGGGTCACGCTATCGGTGACTGGAAATATTAGGACAAGCCTTACTGACACTAGTCCGTCACGCACACCAGTGACCGATCATGTCTGTCTCGGCCGTAAGGTGTCTGTTATTTAGCAGGTGGTTAGCAAAGCACTATTACTTCAAAAAGCACAGCAATGTAGGCCAGTTAATGAGATGAAATGCGAACAAATATATCTGAAGATGTGACTTAAGGGTAAGCTCCTTTTGTTTGACAACATTTTTGATTGTTCTGCCTAATGTAGTGGATTAGTAACGTATGAATAACCTGCAATAACCCCATCAAAGTTAACATTCCTTAGAGCCCCCATGATAATGAATATACTCCTGTCATGTGCTCCCTGAATATGATGAATAATTTATTGGATGTAATGTTGGGGGTTTTTGAGTGTCTGTGTCATTTGGAAAGATAAAACCATGATTCCGCTGTAAAGTGAACCATACTACTTACTACCTTCATGCATCTGTGACGTTTAACTCCCATCTACGCTATACTCCGATCAAAAGTATTTAATAACGCAAGTGTTCGTCGTCTACCTTCGGTGGGTGAAGTGTTGTTCAAAACGTAGTGTTGGATGTGTTTTATGTGGATATTTCGGATGAATCCGAGTCAGTAATGAAATGCAAAACGATTGTTTTTCTCACGTTTGATTTAAAAAAATTTTATATATATATATATATATATATAGTGAATGATTTATCAACATTGGTGGTCACGTCTGTCTTCCTCGCTGCTTCCTTGCAGACACAAACCTACTAACTTAGGAGTCCTCAGTAAGACGTTGGGCTTGCATGCTGTACACTTCAGTATTGTTTTCTATGATTAAAAAAAAAAAAAAATCTTACACCAGACTACTAAAAGTGCTGTGTGAATATATTGATATTGTCCTGTTTGTCTTTTGTTACGCAACAAGCCTCTTTTAATCCCCTTTTATTTTTATGACCTTATACATGTTTGGTTTCTTTTATGTGTGTGTTTGTGTGCAGAGGAATCATCTGCATCAGCCACTGCAGCGCAACTCAGTGTGTGATGTTCTGCTAATTTATGCTTTTATTTATCCCCTTCCTTGTTTGAACCTGATATTTGGCTGAAGCACAAGTAGGCCATTTGATTTAATAATAATAATAAGGTTGCACAAGGACATGTCTTCACAACATGCAAAAACAGACAAATACCAATAAATAAAGCAACCATAAACGAGGACACAACCTGATCTCTGAGGAGACCTCGGTGTTGTTTGGCCTCCTTGATTGTGTGATTTCCTAATATGCATTTGATTGAACAGCATAACATATTAATTAAATGATGACATCAGCCAGCATTTATAAATAATGTATATAAATGTATACCCTTTATATTCTATATTCATATCTAGTTTATATAATGTAAATAGCAATTAAAGATTTAGTCCAATTAAAAAAGTAAATGTAATAATTTTCAAAGTGCTTTTAAACTTTGTTGTCCTTCAATTTGTGTCTATTTTCTTGTATCTCTATATTTTAATATGTTGCTGGCAGTTATTGTACTGTAAATGATGTTGCAATAAAGATAATGGGGTGACATGATTTCCTTTTCTTCATTTCTCAGGTATGATCATTAAATGCTAGTTTTTATTTAAATACCTAAACTCTTAGGCATCAATGTTAGGCCCAAGCAGCTTAGCGCTGCGAAGGCCTATTGTAATTGTACTGTTTATCATTGCATATTGCAAATTAATCTTGAAGACTGAAGTGTGTCTGAGACGCTATACCATGATCTACCACATGATGGCGCTACGGAACTGGGAAGAAAACCGTTTTCGTCAAGGATGTGTTTTTTTTTTTTTGGTTTTTTGTTTTTTTATGAGAATTTCGATTGAGGACAAGTTGCATAGTTTGGGTTCAGTATATTCTGATTTCCAAGTTGGACATTCATTGAAACGCCTTAGCAGGCCAATTTAATTGGATTCAACTCGGATAACGTTTAGAAAGCGTTTGAATCATTAACTAAGGCATAAATTTAAAAAGACGATGCGAATTTAATTGACTATTTTATCATTTAAGTTTGATAAAAGTACAGTAAAAATATTAAGCAAATCATTACCAGTTAAGCTATTACCGTGTCAAAACTAGTTTCCTTTATGTTTGATCAAGATCTCTGCACAACTTTAAACATGACTAAACTTGATTACAAACTTTTGCCCCCAGCTGTTAAAGGGGGGGCGGGGGGAGCTCTGCATCCTCATTGACTACATTTCCCATAAAACACTGGGAGGAGGAGGGTTTTCCTTAGTAGGGTTCGCTCTTTTCACAACAAGAGACAGACGAGCCAGTCAGAAGTAAGAAAAGAGACTGGGAAGTTGGCAGAGGAAGAACGTATGACTTGAAAAGAAAATTTATGTTTATACTTTTGGAATAGTGTCATGAAAAGCTCAAACGAGACATGTGCAAGTTCATGTCCAAACACGTCCAATGATGGTTCAGGAGGTGGGATTTAGTCCTGCAACCGCTGGGTTGCCAGGTTGAACCCCTGCTTCATCCATTTTAGTCATCATGTTCTTGGGCAAGACACTTTACTCACCTTGCCTATGGTCCTGGTCAGAGGCCATGTTGGCGCTGAGTGCATGGCAGCCTTGCTTCTGTCACTCCTCTCCAGGGCAGCTGTGGCTACAATGTAGCTTACTTGTGAAAGCACTACGCATGTACAGGCCATTTACCACTTACCATATTCCTCTGCATATGTGAAGGACATTTGCCTGAAAAGACATACTGTAGCATTTCCCAACCCTGGTCCTCAAGGCACTCTGTCCTGCATGCTTGACGTGTTTCCCTGCTTCTGCACCGCACTTCAATTGATGACTGATTAACAGGCTTTTGCTGAACAGCAATCAAATGAATGAGACGCGTTAAACGTGTAGGACAGTGTGCCACGAGGACCGGTATTGGGAAACATTGGACTACTGATTTAATGGCACATTCTATTTGCACTGTGATGTGTAAATGTTGCAAATTCAAGTAGAACAACAACAAAAAAAAATCTGATGTAGCAGATTTTAAGAGGTGTCGAGAATTTGAAATCAGCTCAAAATAGCAACAAATAATAATAAGAACTCCCAACATGCCCTCTCAGACAGTTCAACATTAAAACAAGTTATAAGATGCTAAAAGAAATAGCTAAAAATCTTTAAATCAGGTTCTTGTGACTGTTGATGTGAAAGTGCATGTGTGCATAATCAGAAGGTGACTTCACGCGATTGACTTTCATTGGGTTGCTTTCCAGGAAAAACATGAAAGCCATGACTGAAGCTTGCCGACAAGATTAAAGGCCAAGACAATGATTGCTGGAACAATGTTCTCTAGAGACAGATGAGTCTAAATGTAATTGTTTGAACACCAGAGCGAAGGACGTGTTAAATATCAACTATGAATCATGGAAATGGAAGCGTCACAATATGCGAAAGCTTTGATAAACCAGGACATGCCCAGTTCACATAATCCACCTTAAATACTACCACGTATGAAAGGGTGATTGAGGAAAGTTTGAGACCATCAGTAAGTTCTGCTTCAGAAAATAAAGCTGAAGAACTGGACCCTTGAACATGGTAGTTGGGAGCAACTGCACCATCTGAAAATGAGGATGAAAGTCAATGCAAAAGGTGGGTAGAGCAGCCAAAAGTTGTACTACAGCAAAAGTAAAAGTAAGAAGTAGTAATCTAAGAAATGACTCAAAAGTGAAAAGAAAAGAAAATGATATGCAGACTACTTGAGTATTTTAGTGGTTTCCCCATTGTTGGTTTATTTTGTTTGTATTTCCTTCTAATTCATAAAAAAAAGCACTTTGAATTGCCTTGTTACTGAAACTGTGCTATATAAATAAAATTACCTTACTTAACCTAGTGTTTGGTTGTCCCTGAACGACAATAATCACAACATGACTTAGTCATTGTATCATTTTCATTTGCTACAATTTTTGTGTTTGTGTTTATGTCCGTCTTTCTATTGTTTATAACAAAGACATTAAACGGGGGGCGGAGGAAGAACATAATCCTGAAGTAACCAAGATAAATAAAGACTAGACATTAATTTCAAAGAACAGAGCATGTCATTTCGCTTTCTAAATGCTCGACAGACTCCGCCTTGTCCTCACCCCGCCCGCAAACTGCGCCGGCGTCGAATTGGTGCGGACCCGTTGGTTCTGTGTAGCTGCTGGGCTGGGGAGGTGACGCTGCTCGCGCTGACTCGCTCTTCTGTCGGTTTGAGGGGAACTTAACGGAGGCGACGGGTGTGGCTTCAAATGTGATAAATCTCTACGCGGGGAAAGAATGCGCACAGGCTTTACGGATTAGGACGAATATTTACATTAGTCAGGAAAAAAAAATCCACGGGAAAAGTGGCGGGTGTGTTTTCGGTAGCTTAACTGGCAGCGGCTGTTTCTGCGTGTGCTCGGTTTTGAACAGCTGGAGTACCTTTTTTTTTTTTTTTTTTTTTTTTTTTTTTAATGCTGAACTTCGTGGGGCTGTTTTCGTGTCTTTGACCTGCTCCGATGATCCGCTGTGAGGACTAGCAGAAAGTTCACCCAGAAAAGTTACTCAAGCCGTATTTTTTTGTGGGGACAAATAGGGAGCAAATGTTGACTTACTGAGACATTAACTAACGTGTGTTTTGAGATTTTCGCCCAGAAATCCCAAATTCGCGTCGTTTCGCAGTCGCAGATGAACAGAATCCGTCACGTTTGTCGCTGAACACCTAAAAAGGGAAGTCATCTCTTACTCAACTTCGGCTCTTGTTTTTGCTTTAAACCCAGGGGGAGAGGGAGGATTTCGGACTGTTTCACTTGTTAAAACTTCCCCTACCAAGCTGCAGACCTGAAGCGCGCACTAGGAACCATGGGTTGTACTGTGAGTCAGGAAGATAAAGCCGCGGCCGAGAGGTCCAAAATGATTGACAAAAACCTGCGAGAAGATGGAGAGAAGGCGGCGAGAGAAGTGAAACTGCTGCTGCTGGGTGAGTACAGTCTGTCACAACACTGACTCGGGCTTGCAAAATTGATTTGCAAGTTGTGTAACTGCCTGAAAAGTGCCGTACAATAGAAAAGTAGGAGGTAAAAAGGCTTTGAATGTTTGAAAAATGACATTTCTGGCCCGACCCACCTCCTAGTGAAACTAGGGTTTATTAAGCAGTCCAGCCCAAGAAAGACAATTGTTTTTGTCGTTTTATGTTTTTTTTAATGTTTTTTTTTTCCCCCAGTGTCACACATGCTTTAACACAGACATGAAAGCTCCTGCGTCAGTGCTTGGGGAAAGTTTAGAGCAGCAACATTGCCGTGCTTTTTACGGCTCTGTCCTTGAAAGCCAGTTTTACAGCATGTTCTACGTGGGCAATGTTGTGAGATTGCTGGAAAGTCTTGTTGTTATTATTAGTTTTTATTATTATTATTATTATTATTATTATTATTATTATTATTGTAAGGTCAGTTTTCAGAGTGACCTCCTCTCAGCTGTGCTTGACTATAGAGGGAGGTCAGACTTGGCAGGGCCTGGTTGACAATGAGTGGGCTGGCGTTTGGATAGAGGATGAACAGCCCTGTCTGTTCCCAGGACAGACCACAGCACACACACACATTACACACACGCAAAGGATTTAGAAAGACTTTTTTAGTTTTGCAAGCCGTTGTAGTATCTCTAAAGTTATTTATTGTCCTTTTTTAAATTTTATTTTAATGGATTTTAAAGCAGCAAACTCTTTAGTAACGAGGATTTCCTGAGGTTTTTTTTTTTTTCCTGTGCTTTCTTAGTAATGACAGAAGTTCTTGCTTATGTCATCACCCTGTTCCTTCTTTTTTTTTTTTTTTTGAATATTTAAACTCACTCATTGGATCATTTAGTATGCTGCTTTTTCCTCCTCTCATTTTTTGTCTATTTCATGAGGAAAAGGGAAAGCTGAGTTAAAACCCGATAAAGATCTTGTGCGCAGAAAAATGTTAAGGCAAGGCTTCTTCAGATGTCGGGCTGAGACGTACACGAGGGCATATCAAATGTACAGATTCGAAACAAGTACACATTTTCCGTCTTACTGTTTTTGTGGCTTAGAGATACCAAAAAAAAAAAAAACCCTTCAGTGTGTCGAGAAGGACAAGTGTTGACAGACAGAATGGTAGAAAAGATGTTCTCCAGAGTTCCATTATGGAAAGTACTATCACTTATAAAAATGTAATTCTCAAAATGATATTTCAGCATTAAGAATAATTGCTTTGTTTTCAATAAAAGCAGGTAGGTCATAAATAACGTGACATGGGGAAGCCGTGGTAAGGTTATCATGCTGTGGGGATCTCGTGCTGTGCCCATGCCTGCTCTCCACATGAGGCTCGTTTGCTAGAAACTTCACGTCACATTTCCAGGAAGTTGATCTGACTAAATGTGTTTTTTTTGTTTTGTTTTTTTTGCATGGAAACTGACTGGAGCAATTAACAGGAAGCAGATACGGCACGTTTATCGTCCGTTAACCCCTTTTTTAAAGTCCCCCCGTTTAGTTCCAAAAGTTATACTTGTGCAAAATAAATAGCCTAATTATCATAACCACAATTCATCAGCCTCGATGTTGTTGCCCCAAAGCTGCTGTTTGAAGGGAAATGCCATTGCATGAGAGAGATGGATAGATGCAACCACTGTCCCTCGCTTTGTCAGCTGAAAGGCTGCATCTCAAGCTTGCACTCAAAGATTGAAATCGATGTAGAAATCGGTGGGAATCGTACGGCAGACGGCTGCAGTGTAGGATCCATGGTATGGTGCAAATGGTGAGCATTGATGCCTCTTCAGCTTTGTCACATTTTAGCAGAACCGCTGATTGTAATGGAATTTAGACTGACTTTATTTTTCATTATCTATATATATATAAAAAAAATGTTAAAGTTTTGCCATCCAAAATCAGTTGGATTTTTTTCTGGACTTTGACTGGGCCATTTTAAGACGGGATTTCAGTGCGCCTCCAGCAGTTCAGGGTTAGTGGATTTATGAATTTGCAGATTTCATTCGGAACGTAAAAGGCAAATTTTCCGAAAATGATTTATTTGCAGGTTTGCTGTATTCAAAAGCAAATGCAGCGTGGGAAGCTGAACACCTTATGCACAACTTTACGCACCATTAGCTGGCATACAAAGCAGCTGGTCTAGGAGCATATTAAGATATATTTGGTGTTTGAATTATCTGCAGCTATCAGCATTTCTAGAGAAAGTCTCAGTTATTTGCACTTCTAGCTGCATGTTTAAGGTTTTTTTTTTATCCTGCTGGAAGGTGAACCTTCAGCCCAGTCTCAACTCTGTAGACCCCAAACAGTTTCTCTTCTGTTATTGTTCTGCTATTAGCTAAATCCATCTAACTAGCTTCCCTTTCACTGCTAAAGAAGAACACCCCCCTCACCATTATTCTGCCGCCATCCATGTTCTTGCTGGGGTTGGTCTTCTCAAATGTAAATTGAATTGACATAATTGGGCAGCCTCTGATGGCCATTGCTTGCACTGGATTTTATTTAGGGGTGTCAAAGTAAAGGAGGTGAAATCTAAATGCATACCAAACATGTTCTTAAACATTTTTTTTTTTTTGCATCTTTTCCTTCCTCTTCACAAATGTGCTCTGATTTATGTTGGTCTATCACGTTGGTGTTGGTGTGGCTGCCATATAACGGGTTTCCTTACGACGTCGTGCGCATGAACTGGTTGGGGTTGAATTTGTGCACCAGACTTTGATTTAACGTAGGAATCAGTCAGTGCAGCTCATTTTGAAACGTCGACTCTCACAAGTATGTTTTTCTTTTATTGTTTTTGTTTCCTGACGGAACACAGATCATCGATCTCAGATCGATGGTGAACGCACACCGCCTCTTCCTCTCTTGGTTCTCTGAAGAGGAGGCTGGGTTAAGTTGTGCCCTCGGATAGAGGGCTAATTACACAGTCAGCTCTGTGGAGCAGGTCTTACATCAGTAATTACTGTCTACTTCACCGAGCGAGGGTTGGGGCAATTACAGGAGAGTTTGTGTTCCCCATCCCACCCCACTCCATCTTTTCTTGTGCAATTACAAAATCCTGCCTTTGCTCGTGAAGCTTGAACTAGGAAATAAACCTGGACTGTCCTCGAAAGGTTTCACTGTAAACGGCAAACGTCGAGTGCAGTTAAGGACAGGTGTGTCAAAGGCGCACAAAGCAAGTTCAGATAACTTGTGTTAAGTGTTTAGTTTAACTATAGTCCTCTGTATTAAATTCAAGTTTTTAAAACGTTTCTTATTATCCTCTCATAATTCTCAGGCTCCAGAATGCAATAGCTTACAGCTGCCGCTGAAACAACACTCCTGCCCTGGGTGAAGGATGTAGGATAGAGGTGTTACATCCTTTAGGAGGTGTCGCATCACTTGTTTTTCTAAGCTCTCTGGTACAATAGCATCCCCATAACCCCATACGACTCTGAGTTGCGCTGCGGGGTTTCGGTTTAAGTGCAAGCCTCATTCCTTGCGTTTTCAGTCGGCTCTCTCGAGTCGCTGCCCCCCTTCAGCGAATCACTGAAATCCGACTGCAGAAAGCCTAATTGAAATGAAATGTTCCCCCCCCCCCTCAATATACAAGTAAATTTAATTAGGGGTTTCCAAGGTAACGGCTCTGGCCTAATCTTCCTCAACCAAAAAGAAAGGGAAGGCGATGTGAGATTGTTTTCCCTTATTTGTTGTCCCTCAGGAAAATATAAGAAAAAAAAAAAAGCCATTAGTTAATGTGACCAGTGAGGATTTCCTGCCATTGGAGGTTGGAGTCGTCATTAGCAGGAAGACGTCCAACGTCTCGTTTGTCCTTACAAGAACACTTAGGTTAATTTTGCTCTGTTTTGGGAACAACAGGTGCACAATTCGGCATAAGCTGTGCAAATTCAAAGTACCCCCCCCCCTCCACTCCTCACAGCCTCCGTAGTAAACAGAGATATTTGCTGTGAGGTGTGACAGACTGTGCTGTTATGTAAATACGTCTCTATACCGACTGCATGCGAACAAGCCTCCTGCGGGCGTGCAGTCCAGAAGCTTTTTACCACGAATCTGTTAGCGCTGCACTGAACATGCCCTCAATATGTTTACATATTACTGTGCACGTGCAGGAAAACTCACTGGAATATGGGAGGGATTCTGGTTAGGTTCTTAAAATAGAAGGCGCTTGTTTCAAGTTTGTAAAACAAGTGGAAGGACGGCACTGTTTTTAATGACACGCCGTGTTTAACATGCAACATATCAGTATCAGTTTATGGGCGATTCGGTGCCGCAGCAGTGCCCTCGATTCTGTAAAAACCAGCTCTCGGAGGCTGCAGCTGCCGACATGCGATGCTGTAAATGCTAAAGTCAGGACGGTTTTGCAAAGAGGTGGCGTAATTTTGATTTTGTCACTGTGATTGTTGTTGCGCTCTTACAAATAGAGGTACCACATTTTGAGTTGCGACTATGGAATCGATGACACTGAAAACCGCCAAAGTGAATTCAGCACTATATTATTTATTTTTTTAAGTGAGTTCATCACCTCTTTTCCGGGTGGGCAGTAACTGAGGTGGGATTCCTCCTTCCTTTATCTCTAGAAGTTGTGGATGTTCTCTACAAACAGGAGAAATTGTTCATAAAAATGCCGTGTTATCAGCCTGTTTTTCGTCCTGAATCAAGTTCGGTATTAAACTTTAGCAGCGCATAGAGTCCAACCTGCAGGCTTTCATGCGGTCATTTATTTACTGCAGACTGACCTGCTGAATGACTTCACGGGGTGACATGTTCTCCTGCGGTCAGCACTGTGCAGACACTGAGCATCTCCCTCTTATTAAAGTCACAGGCAGAGCTTAAGTGGGTGTCAGGTGTAATTACAGTAGGCTCATTATAGAGGTCCCCGTTTCTGCAGTGGAAACCATCCTCCCCGAAGCGTTCCTGAAGAATAAATATGTCTGCTCTCCAGGGAGGACGCTCCTCGAGTGATGGAATCTTTGTTTCGACAGGAA